ATTAAGTTATAAATTAAATCGTTTAGTTCGTTAATTAACCAGTGCTTGTTTTATTCACTCTACGAACCGATGAAAACGTTACAATATTTATATTATGATTTTTATTTTTAGTATTATTTTTAATAATTTTAAGACTAAAGCCTCATTCAGAACCTCGTAATTAGTGGAATAAATTAGTGGTTTAGTGTTGTTCACAACCAAATAATTAGTGGTAGTACTTTTCAATTAGTGGAAAAAGTTTGCAAACTTCTAACTTTTACCACTAATTCTAATTGAAAAGCGGCTTTGCGCATGTGCGTATGTCAAAAGCAAAAAGTTTTGCCAGTGAAGGAAAGGTTATATAATAGTTATTTACGTGTCAAGCTTTGTAAATGAATCTCGAGCTGGAAGTTTGTGGGGTGAGCGACGCAGGAGCAAACCCCATATTCCAGTGAGCCTAGTAAAGATTAATTGCAAAGCGTGACACGTACAAACTTTTATTTTCACCTTTAGATAACGATTTTCAAATTTAAAGTTTTAATATGTCAAATGTGACATTTCATTTCATAAATTGCTTTTCTACAAGCCTGTAAAACTTTACAGGTCTTTTAAACAAGCCCGTAAAATATTACAGGTCTGTTCCCATAATGTATCGTTTACTTGGTTACAAAAACCTCAAAATTAACCTATAAAATGTCATTTACTAAGAAGGTGGAAATAAATATTATTGTATAGTTGTAGATATAGTTATATCTATAGTTTTTAATAAACCATTAAAAATTAAAACTAAACTAAATTCTTGATAATTTGTGAATTTATGAAAAATTACAAGGAATTTTTCCGTAAGTGTTAGTAGTATGGTATATTAATAACGCGGTGTGTTTTTTTTTTTGTTAAAACTGCTTTTCTTGAAATTTTATCCCGGTGCATTCGCCATTTTTGCAAATATTAAAAAATTAAGTGAGTAGTACAACTACTTTCTAATATAATATAAGTATTGCTTGGTAATCAAATTACAGAAAATTAATTATTTTAAAACATTTATATAGGGTTTTTCAACTTTATTATTTACAAGTAAAAATTGTAATAATTGAGTCTGATTAATTAAATTTCTTTGTCTATGCTTAATTTTTCCATATAGTTACTTCAATGTTATGCATTTCTATAAATAATTCCAACTTTAAACATTATTTATGCAGGGTATTTTTTGTTTGTTAAAGCTGCCTATTTTTAAATTTTATCCCGGCGCCTTCGCCATTTTTGCAAATATTAAAGAATGTCGAGTGGTAGACTACCACTGGTAGTAATGAAATTACAGAAAATTAATAATTTTAAAGCCTCATTTAAGCCTCATTCAGAACCTCGTAATAAGTGGAAAAAAATTGTGATTTCTATTATACTTATAATTAACAGAAAACGATCATTCACAATGCGCAAAATTAACATATAAAATTAAGGGAATTTGCTAAAAGATTGTCAATTCTTCTTAACCTGACATAAACAATATTAATTATATTGAAATAATATTTTTTACTACCTTTACAATAATATTTATATAACCTTACCTTCACTGGCAAATCTTCAAACTTTTTGCTTTTGACATAAAATAACCGCGCACATGCGCAAAGCCGCTTTCCAATTATAATTAGTGGTAAAAGTTATAAGTTTGCAAACTTTTTCCACTAATTTTAGGTTGTGAAAAACACTGTGTACATTTAAACTTTTACGTTAATTGAAACCACTAATTTATTCCACTAATTACGAGGTTCTGAATGAGGCTTAATAGTTTTGATTCTGATTAATTAAATTTGTAGGTCTATGCTTAATTTTTAATTTCTATAAATAATTTTAACTTCAAATATTAATTATGGAGGCTGCTTATTAAAAATTTAATCCCGATGCCTTCGCCATTTTTGCAAATATTAAAGAATGTCTAGTAGTGGTAATCAAATTACAGAAAATTAATTATTTTAAAACATTTATTATGGGGTTTTTTAATTTTTTTATTTACAAGTAAAAGTTGTAATAATTTTTTGATTCATTAATTAAATTTGTATATCTATGATTAATTTTTCTATAGACGTCTATGGTTTTTTTCTATGTTATGCATTTATTTCTTTGATTAATTCTTCTACATTTTACACGTTTATGGTTTATTTTCCCAGGAAAGCGTGTAACTTTTTCAATAGTATAAAAATCCGCCAAAATATAAAAAATTTATTTAAAAAAATAAGACAAATATAGGTATTAGTTTTACCAACCGAAATTACCAATTGAAAAGTGATTACATGCTTGCAGATACCTGTTATTAATTTTTAAAGTCCGGCAAGACTCATATCACAGTACTCACTTTTAGGTCCTTTGAGATAGTATTAAAGAGCGATTTTTATTCCGAAAAAAGGATTCAATTTAAAAAAGTCATAGACCAATAGTCGCACGCAATATTTTATTTAACTACCACAAGGAATTTAAAGCCAATTTTATTTGATATTTAAGTTTTAACCTCACTTTTTTGCAATTTTAACTTCCCACCGGTTAAAGTTAAGAAATGAAATAGATGTTGAATAAATTTAATTTTAAAATTCTTACGACAGAAAAGTAAAATGTCAAAAAAGAACTTATTTTGTATGCATAAAATAACGCCACTTTTTTGTTACACCCTGTATACGTCTATGGTTATATTTACTATATATATTTATATGTGTATGGATATGTTTTTATGAAAAATCAACACTTAAGCTCAGAGATTTTAAGTCATCTTGAAGCAGACATTTTAAAAAAATAGCTGTTTTTTTCAATCTCCATGGTTTATGTCCATGGTTAATTTTGAAGAGGAAAATTGGTATAAAATAAAAAACGTGACTACACATTGATATATTTATTGATTTAGAATACATATCACAATCGATGATAATGCATAATTATATAAAATTGGACATTACACAAGTATAAAAAAAATATTATAAAAAGCTACGTATCCTAATATAAGTAAATTGTAATATATAAGTTTATATGGACAGATCAATAAATTCAAACAGTATGATACACAGTTCCTTTAATATTAATTAAATTAATATTAATTGAGTACAATCCTTAAATCCTACATTTTTATAATTAATAATGTACATTTACTATAATTACATAAACACATTCATATAAATTCTACAGGGTGTACAAAAAATGGCACACTAATGCTGGTTTCTTGTGCACCCTATATAGTCAGGCTAAAACACTTTTGTTCGTTCCCCTAAAAACCCTCGAAAAAGATGTTAAAAAATTGGTCAAGAGATTTTAAAAATTTTACAATAATTGACCGTTAAAATGTCAGTAGAGTAGAACAGTCTCAGAGTATTATATTATTATTTATTTTTATTTTGGCAGTGTATAGTGGCTTCAATTTCTTTCAATATACAATTACACAACACAGCAACCTTTCGCTGCAACGTGGCCTTGGCATTTTGACAGTTTAAACGTCAAAATTGACAGTTTAAACGTCAAAATATCGCGCTAACTAGTTTACCTTATTTGATATGCTTTTTAATGAAAAATTCGAAATGAAAAATGATATGTACAATTTTATTGGGTCGGGAGTTTAGATGAGATCAAGTCGAAATATTTTTGAAGAAGTCTTAAGAATAATAATAAATAACTTAAATATCTAGAAGTCCTGTAAATTATGCAGTCTTGGTCAATTGATTTTGGAATACGTAAATTTAAAATAGTGTTTTTTTAATTTTATGTCAAAAGTAGTATTTTTGCAAAAATGCGCTGAGAGTAAATTTTAGGATAAGCAGTTTTAACATATGCTGGGCAAAACATGTTTGCAAATAAATATACTATTTTTGATATAAAATTTAAAGAACACGCCATGTTCTCCTAATTTTTACTAACAATGCTTTTACTTAAGGCTTACACATTTTTTTAATACATTGGAAGCTTACGATTACATTATTATTATATAATAATTCGATTCTCAGCATATCTACAGGGCGTTTTAAAAATATCATTAATTAAAGCATTATTTTTGAGACACTCTGTAGGCTTAATATATAAATTTGGTTTTTATCATAAAACATGCCAAAGTTACCGAGCAGTAACTTTAGTAACTAGAAAATAACTAGTAGTACCAATAGAAGTAAAAAGTCCTAACTGTAATCAGAGCTGTGCAGTAGAGTGGGTCGAATATTCGTTTTTTTTTTTTAAATTAATTTGGTTACAGCAAAAGGTGAAAAAAATTATGTGTGCTAAAAAAATTCCTAGGCTCATCTGAAAGTAAAAAAATATTTTTTTTCACGCAATCTGTTAAATTTAATTGTCTATAAAAAAGTCCCTGTAAATATTCTAATTTCGCAAATAATGGCGATTTTATCCCAAAATTGTTATTTGACAAAATTTACTTATTATAATAATAATAATAATTATTATTATTTTTTTGGTTAATTTAATTGTCCACAATTGTTTATTTTAAAATTGTCATTTTTATGACAAACTTACTTAATTAAGTAATAAAAATAATAAATTTCTCATAACTACCTACTCTCTAAAAATAAATTAGTCAAAAATTACTATTTGTAAGTCATATTTTACTAATTGTTATGGCCAAAAAGCATTTACTAATAAATTTCAATTTTAAAAGTATTTTTTTTATTTAACATAATTTGTTAAAAAATTTAATTGTCTAAAAAAAGTACTAATATATAAGTGAAAATTTTTAAACCAGAGGTAGTCGCGAATTTATGTTGGAATTTTCATTTTTTTACAAAATTGACTAGTTTTACAAGTTATTTTTAAAAATATATTTTGTTAGTAAATTATAATTTTTATGACAAAACTTACTTAACTAAGTAAAAAAAAATGGGTTCAATAAATTGCCCACTACTACCATCCCTCTAAAAATAAATTAGACCAAAATTACTAATTGAAGGGGTTAGAATAGAAAGGGTATAAGTGCAATTTCTTTAATTTAGGAGATAAGTTCGTTTTGTGAAAGATAAGGTTCCGACGTATCGAAATGAAAAGGATTTAAGTAATTTTCATACTTCTAGGGACCTCTATTATCCAGTAGAAAAACATTACTAAACAAAATTCTTCACTTTTTTATGGTAACATAACTTTAACTTCAAATATCTCCAAAAAATGAAAATGTTACTTATACCCTTTTTATTCTAACCCCTTCAATTGTAAGTAATTTTTTATTAATTTTCAAGGTCAAAAAGCTTTCACCAATAAATTCTTATTTTAAAAGTAATTCACTTATAAATTCTAACTTTAAAAGTATTTTTTTTATTAACATAATTTGGATAACGCTGATCGAAAAGGAACCAAGCGCCAAAAACTTTTTCTGGGCTTAGTAAAATTATTTGTAAAATATCTCATATTTAATAATGCTCAAAAGGTTAATCATCATTTGGAACTTTTCTCAAAAGGATTATTGAAAGAAGATTTGAGCAGCATAAAAAATTATTTTGCAAATAATTTTGTTTACCCCAGAAAAAGTTTTTGGCGCTTGGTTCATTTTTGATAAACACCATCCATTTGTTAAAAAAATTTAATTGTCTAAAAAAAGTACTTATCAATTACACTGTAGGTAAACTCTCTCGCTCGGACACGTAAACATAATTTTTAGTCGTAGATTGCAAATCCGTGCTTGGTTTAACATAATATCCTCAATTATACTCAATAAAAAAAATTACCAAAAAAACATTTTGAATTTCCTAAATTATCTATAAAAAACTCTCAGGGACCCCTGTTCCTTTTGATCAATTAACTTCAAATTTTGCAATAATTTGTTTTTTTTTTTTAAATTTTGAATTGATGTGTGGATCCAGCCAAATTTATTTTTTTAAATGAAAATTTTTGAACCAGAGGTAATCGCGAATTTATGTTTTTTACAAAATTTACTAATTTTACAAGTATTTTTTCATATATATTTTGTTAAAAAATTTAATTTTCTATAATTATTGTTATTCCAGAGATAATAATTATCTATCTATCTATCTATCTTATTGCCATTTTATTTAGGAATTGTCATTTTTATGAAAAAACTTACTAAATTGTAAAAAAAAACATCTAATTTGGGTTCAATAAATTCCCCACTACTACCATCTCTCTAAAAATAAATTAGTCAAAAATTTAATTGTCTAAAAAAGTACATATCAATTATCAAATGAACATTTTAAAATTTTATTTTAAAATTGTCATATTTATTTGGGTTCAATAAATTACGCTATAAAAATAAATTAGTCAAACATAACTAATTGTGTCATTTTTTAATAATTTTGGCGAAAAAGCGGTCACTAATAATTGAAATTCTACTGAATAAAATAGGTAGTCAAATTAGTAGATTTATATTTAAAAAAAATATGACGGTTCTGGTTGTGCCATTTTTATAAATGACATAGGTATATTTGTCAAATGACAATTAAAAAAAAATGGCGATTATCTCTAAAGCTTCAATATTTATGCGATAATTGATGGAACCTTTTTGTGGAAAATTTAATTTACGTACAAAATATATGAACAAAAATATTTTCATTAATAAAATAAGCAAATTTTGTCAAAAAAATTACAATTACGACTTTTTAAAAAATGGTATCTACATTTTAAGGTAAAATCGCAATTGTGCAATATTTGTGATAATTGCTAAAAACCTTTTTTGTGGATAATTTTTTTTTTCCTTTTTTGAAGACATTTCCCAACAGATACCTTGAAAAAAAAGTATTTTATTACCTACTTCCTATTTTAAGTGTTTTTTGCTCATAATTTTTTTTACCTTGAAGAATATTTTTGCTATTACCAAATTAATTTAAACAGAACGGGTATTTGACCCACTCTACTGTGCAGTAAAAGAGTACATTAATGGACTCCAGAAATCATTTTAAAATAGTTAAGTCAAGTTAAATAATATTTTTTAAAAGTACTTTCTACTTTTACTTAAGTACTTTCTTCATGTACTTGTAGAGCTCTGCCTGTAATAATAATAATAATAATAAAGAAATTAACAGGACTTTATACCATTAAACATAACCAAAATAAGGAAATAAATCACATTATAAAACAGAGTACAAGAAAAAAGTACTTAAGTTAAATACCAGAAAAATCTTACTCTTACTTGGTAAAAGTACATTTAATAGTACAACGTTCCTATAACTTTTCGTCATTTCACTAAAAACTAAATATTTACATAGACTTGCGCACTTCGCCGATATCTTTCGACAGTTCGGCAAAAGTGGGCCGATTTTGGGGGTTCGAATCCCAGCAGGGCTCCTGCAAGGGTTGCAAACCTTCCGGCGTGTTGGGGGCGGGTTTCCACTCCAACTTTTTCTCCTTGAGCTTCGTCAGGAAGCTTGTGTCGTTGATCTTGGGGAAGGGGAGTTCTCCCTGGGAGAATATTTCCTGGATTAGGACTGCGAACGCGTACACGTCGCTTTTCGTGGAGTACTCGTCTTCGTAGACTGCTTCATATGGAAGCCATCTTAAGGGGATAATCTGTAAAATGGTAAATTTAGTCACTTATTCACTGGCAGTAGAGAGGGTCAAATATAAGCTTAGTTTAAGGTGAAAAAAAATAATGTGCACAAGAAAGTTTTGTGGTTCAACAACCTAGGCAAATCTGTTGGGAAATTAATTGTCTACAAAAAAGTCGTCCTAAATATTGTAAATAAGTAAATTTTGTGAAAAAAAAATACAACTCTAGGAAAAATTCGCATTTCACATGATAATTGATAATTAATTTTTATAGACAATAATTATAAACAAATTAGGGTATATTTTAAAAAAACGACTTTAAAATAAGTTTTGCTAAAAATTGACAATTTTATAATAAAATCGCAATTAAATACCTAAGTAAATGTCAAAAAAATTACAAATTAGAACGACTTTTGTTGTAGACATTAAACTTTTTTAACAAAATAGGTGGGTTTATGAAATTTTTTTTTACTTTTAAAATAAGTTTTGTAAAAAATGACAATTCTAAAAAACTATTTCATTTTAAAAATAAGGTTAGTAAAAAAATGTACAATTCTAAAATAAAATCACAATTTTGTCAAAAAAATTACTTTTGTTGTAGATATAAACGTTTTTAACAATCAGGTAGGTACATATATCAAAAAAACTTTTTTTACTTTTAAAATAAGTTTTGTACACAAATTTACAATTTTAAGAAAAAATTGCAATTAAATAAGTAAATGTCAAAAAAATAACAAATTATAACGACTTTTGTTTTTTAACAAATTATGTAGGTTTATCAAAAACTTTTATTACTTTTAAAATGTTTTGTAAAAAATGACAATTATAAGATAAAATGACCAACAACATTTTTTAACTTTAAAAATAAGGTTAGTAAAAAATTGTACAATTTTAAGATAAAATCGCAATTAAATAAGGCATTTTGTCAAAAAAATTACTTTTGTTGTAGACATTTATAAACGTTTTTAACAAATTAGGTAGGTAGGTATATAAAAAAAAAACTTGTTTTACTTTTAAAATAAGTTTTGTAAAAAAAATTACAATTATAAGATAAAATTGCAATTAAATAAGTAAATGTCAAAAAGGACTTTTGGTTTTAACAAATTAGGTAGGTTTATCAAAAACTTTTTTACTTTTAAAATAAGTTTAGTAAAAAATTACAATTTTAAGAAAAAATGCCCAACAACATTATAAATTAAATAATAAATCTAAAAAAGTTTTTTAACTTTAAAAATAAGGTTAGTAAAAAAATCGCAATTAAATAAGTACATTTTGTAAAAAAAATACTTTTGCTGTAGACATAATCGTTTTTAACAAATCAGGCAGGTACAAATATCAAAAAAACTTTTATACTTTAAAAAATAAGTTTAAAAAAAATTAGAATTTTAAGATAAAATCGCAATTAAATAAGTAAATTTCAAAAAAATTACAATTATAACGACTTTTGTGTAGACAAACTTTTTTATCAAATTAGGTGGGTTTATCAAAAGAACTTTTTTTCTTTTAAAATAATTTTTTGTTTAAATAACAATTTTTTTAACAAATTAGGTGGGTATATTAAAAAACTTTTTTACTTTTTAAATAGGTTTTGTTAAAAAATGACAATTTTAAAATAAAATAGCAATTAAATAAGTAAATATCAAAAAATTACATTAGACATTATTTTTTAACACTTTTTTTAATTTTAAAATAAGTTTGGTAAATTAATGACAATTTTATGATAAAATCGCAATTAAATAAGAAAATACAAATTATAACGACTTTTGTTGTAGATATAAAAAATCAGGTAGATATATAAAAAGAAAACTTTTTTACTTTTAGAATTAGTTATATTAAAAAATTTGTTATATAAAATCGCAATTATTGTAGACAATTAAATTTTGTAGATAAATGCATTTGGCGAGCCTAGAATGTTAACAAAAAAATGTTTGCACATAATTTTTTCCCCAGAAAGAATAATATTTTTGCTATTACCAATAAATTTCGAAAAAAGCGGATATTTGATCCACTTTACTGAACAGTAAGTCTGCTCCGACTTAGCAAAGTCCATATTCCTGCACTAGGGGGTTAAAAGATAGTTGGAAAAAGCAGGAAAATACTTTTAATTCCAGATTAATTTTACTTACATGATTAACATGTTTGCAGTATTCCTGACTATAAGGGTCACGTGTCAACCTAGGAAGGCCCACTTTAGCCACCAATTGGGATGTAATAAGACAGTTTCTGGCTGCCAAATCTTTATGGACCAATCTCGCGTTGGATAAGTGTTCCATGCCTCGGCTTATTTGGTGAACTATGGCGACACTCTGAAATCACAAAAAAATTGTTTATGTTACAAAAATTCACAAAATATGCTTGGAGATTAGGGTGCTTCATTTTAGAGCGACATTTTTAGGCAAGTCTGTAAGTTGAAAATGTTCTTCACAAATTGCCGTTCTACTCGAAAATCTTCTAAAATAGCAGTAAATCGTATTTCGAGACTAAACTATTGATTGTAGATAAAAAACATAGGGAATTTTGTGCCCTACAAATTTGTTAAGAAATATTTTTCTGTATCACTTATAGTTTAGTTTGTACAGCCACTCAAAGTGTCAAATTCTTAAAAATTCAGTTTACGTGAAAGAGTGGCTGTACAAGCTAAACTATAACTGATACAGAAAAATATTTATTAACAAATTTGTAGGGCACAAAATTTCCTACAAAATTGTTATTCACGTTTTTTATCTACAATCAATAGTTTAATCTCCAAATACGATTTAGTGCTACATATTTGTGAAGAACATATTCAACAGACTTGCTTAAATGGACATTTTTGAAGATAATTTCATCCTGTATAAAGATTTTAGAACCGAAATTAGAAAAAAATATTCTTACTGTACGAGCAGAAGGAGAAAAGAATAAAACATTGTTTTTTAATGGTTTTTAAATGGAAATATTTAAAAATTGAATAGCAACGGCTTAAAATAAAGATCAAGAGCTTTGTAATGGCTCAAAATTGTTTTCTGACCGTTTACAAGATTTTCAGGTGGGACTTTGAAAAAAAAATGTCGCTCTAAAATAAAGCACCCTATTGGAGATAGGGTGCTTTTTTTTTCACGACCATTTTAATTTTTTTGCCATGTTAAAAAAAAATTCCCTGAAAATTTGGGCTCTTAATATTAACTCAAAGTACTCTACCAAAGCGTATAAAGATTTCCCCTTTAAAATACACGTAAACTTTGATTATTATTTTTTTAAATATCTATATCTCAGCCGCAATTTATACTATTGGATTGTTTCAAAAAGGGATTTACTCGTAATCAAAAGTTCTACAAAAATGCTTTATTTGTCATATATGCTATAGCTGTAATCTGCACCTGTAGGATGGTAAGGGTCACTAAATCTTATTTTACTGAAAAATTCTCATATTTTTGAGATATTTTAAGTGACTGGATTCTTTGAAAAAATGTAAAGGACGAAGTTGTAGAAAATTTAATTTTCTTTAAAAATCGCTAAGATTGATATTTGTTGAGATATAAAGCGTTTACATTGACATTTTATGAAATTTTCAGGATTTTCGTACCAAACTTTTTATAAATGATGATTTTCAATTATTTATCAGTACAATTTCATGTAATTACGTTTTTTCTACAGTCGGGTGATTAGAGAAAAATAAATATCTAAAACAATCAAGCATCATTATTAATAAAATAACATGTTGTATGTAATACACCTCGATATATAATTTTTTAGGTTAGATATATATTTTCTCTTTAAAGTTATGTTATTAATAATTATGCTTGATTGTTTGAGTTATTTATTTTTCTCTAATCACCCGACTATAGTAAAAACGTAATTAGATAAAATTATACTGATAATTACCCTCTTATATATGCCTACAAGACAATTATCGCTTGATTACAGCGATAATTGTCTACTAGGAATCGATAATTCCATTGTATCTACGTATCCATGACAATTAATAAAAATAACGTCAGTTTGTATTTTATTGTGACAGTTATTTAAAATGTCACGTTTTGGTAAAGAATCATTTGAATCAATTATTGAATAATGTTAAATAAAGTTTTGTGTTGAAATTAAAATGAAAATGTTATTCTTTGATTTAATTAGTTTATTCGGGTAATTATCTAAACAAATTACACTCGTGCATAAAAATAATCAGATAATTTTGCATTCAAGCATATTGCCTTTTAAAAAATTCATTCGGTCATTTTCATATTTTGAGGAAAGGGCCCTCCACCTTCGGTGTCGGGCTCTTTCCAAAATATGAAAATGAACTCATGCATTTTTTAGGCAATATGCTTTCAAGCAAAATTATCGATAATTTTTAAGCACTTGTGTAATTACCCCCGATAAACAATTGAAAATCATCATTTATAAAAAGTTTGGTACGAAAATCCTAAAAATTTCATAAATTGTCAATGTAAATGCTTTATATCTCAACAAATATCAATCTTAGCGATTCAACTGATAAGACCTTTTTTAAAGAAAATTAAATTTTCCACAAGTTTGTCGTTTACATTTTTTCGGATTCTTTGAAATATCTTCAAAAATATGAGAATTTTTCACTAAAATAAGATTTAGTGACCTGTACCATCCTACAGGTGCATATTACAGCTATGGCACATTTTTGTAGAACTTTTGATTACGAGTTAATCCCTTTTTGAAACAATCCAATAGCATAAAATGCGACTGAGATATAGATATTTAAAAAACGTGTATTTTGGTAGAGTACTTTAAGTTAATATTAAGGGCTCAAATTTTCAGGGAATTTTTTATTGAACATTTTCAACAAGATTTTGAGTTGGGAGCGAAAAAATAAAAATAGCCGTGAAAAAAAGCACCCTATTGGAGATGCTTTTTAAACGTGTTCTACCTGCACTGGAGTTAATGGTGGAGGACTTCCTTTCTTAGTTGCAACCAAAAATTGCTTTAAATCCCCCCAATCGGTGTGCTCCAAAATCATGTAGTGAGGTTCAACTTCCCGACACAAACCGTACAGTTTCGTGATATTTTCGTGGGATAACTTCAAGAAAATATCGATTTCCCTTTTAAACTCGGCCAAACAACTCTCCTCCTTGGTCTGCGACAAACATTTCACCAAAACAACCAAATCGTTGTCTTTCTCTTTATCCTCGGTGGGCGTCGTGGCCGCCTGCGAAGTCCCCTTCTCCACGGCACTCTTCGGCATCTTGGCCACCAAGCAATCGCCGAACTCGCCGCGACCTATCAGCTTGGTCTCCTTCAGGTGGCCGCGCGACAGGGCGATTTTGTCGTAGCTGCACTTGGACTTTTTCGAGTTGCTCGAGCTTTGCGAGTGCGTCGTCTCGGCACCGTCGCTTTTCTGGCCCTCTTTGTGCGTTTTCACGCCGTTCGCTTCCGGTTTCGATGGACCCGGAAGGTGGCCGTTGGTGACGTCTTTTAGTTCTGTGTGTTCGACGTCTCCGTTTTCGGTTTTGGCTGCTAAATATGTTTTCAGATTAGATTGTATAAGTAGGCATGTAATGGTAACGTATTAGGTATAAGTTTTCACTTAAGAATTCGATACACTCATTATTTTATTTATTATGCTATAGTAATTTATGATTCTCATCTGGCCGAGGGGTCGTTATTGAAATACCAAATAAGCAAGTTTTGGTACAGTTCCTAGCCTTAAAAATAAACATAAAAAAACGTGTAGAACACCTAGAGGATAGTAGGTCGTTATTTTTCAAAGAATTTTTTTTACAGTTTCTCTACCACAATTAATGAGACCCGTATTTTTTCTTTTTGCTTAAATTTGTTTTATTCGCTGGTAGGAAATTTTGAAAAATGTACAGATACTTTGAAGTTATCTCTTTTGATATTTTTTCTTGAAAATGCGTTACCTTGGCCAAAAATGTTTAAATCGTGACATTTTTTTAATTGTTTTTTCTAAAAAAGGCACAAAAAATTAAGGTCAACATTTTGACATTGCCACATTTTATTTTACCTAATATTTTTTTCTTTTGAAGTTAATAATATAAACAACTTTCACCAAAAGTCCCGAGTTATTTAAATTTGTCGTTTCGGAATTATTATTTTTTTAATGAAAATGTCATTTTCTAGTAAATTCGTGGTTCATCGCAAACATTTATTTTATCTAGGGTCGTGAAACTGGGGTGACCTATAGTATAATTTAGAATTTTTGACATATTTAACATATTTTAGTCACTTCCGGTTTCACCGGAAATGGTCTTAACTTCTTATTTTTTAATGAAACACCCTATGCATTTTGGCTTCCTTAACGTGCCAAGCCGCTAGGTGGCGCTAAGATCGAAGGGCAAAGTCAATTAAATGAACTACTTAGTTAAATGTGGAACTACTGCATAACCATAACCTAACTTTTTAAATTCTTTTTCTATGTTTTGTTTACATTTTCAAAAATTTAATATTTGTGAGTTTGTTTCGGATAATTTACGTTAACAAAATAGGACAACAAAGTCTATACTCTATGCACAAAGTCCTCGGCCGTCACATGCCCAGACCAAACATGTAAGTAAAACATGTTAATGTATAAAATACATACGTATGCACAGAACATAAGTAGGTAGTTCATTTGACCTTTTATCCCATAGACTTTAAGGACTTAGAGCCGGTTTTACAATCGTTAGATTTGGCGGATAACTTTCATAGAAACCTTTTATCTAAGAAAATTATCCACCAGAGAGCTTATCTAACGATTGTAAAACTCAAAGATAAAGAAGGTAAAAACTACCTTTAAACATCTATGGTTTATCCATAACTTGACGCCATCTGGTGGGTGTCTCATTAGAGAGGTCACTTTTCCTATTGAAATTGGGCGAAGTTGCAAGACCTGTATATAAGACCGTGTACTCGACAAATTTAGCCAACTCGGGATTTTTGGTGAAAGTTGTTTATATAATCAACTTCACACGAAAAAAAATATGAAGCAAAAGAAATGCGGCACTGTAAATTTGTTTGCCATTTTTAGAATTTTTTTTTTAAATTGAGGGAATTCACTTATTTATTTTGGTATGTAGTAAACATTTCCCTATATTTAAAAAAAATTGTAACGATCAAAACATTTTTCGCAAGTTATAACATTTTCAATAAAAAAAATGTCACTTAGAAAAAGAGAAAAATCGTTATAAATAGTGGTGATTACACCTTACACCTTACACATTATTAAACTAGGTATGTTTATTTTATTGTTACTATAATAATGAAAAAGAAGTTCCATTATGATAAATATAACAAGAGTTAAGGGTAAAAAAAATCATAATAAGTGGTTAATTAGTTAATAGTCAATAGTTAACTATATTTTACTATTATTTCATCTTGTTTTTGTAAAAGAAGGAATAAGCCGAACTTTGTATCTTTATGGTTGTGGTTGGGCAAACCAAATTACAAATTTATTATAATCATTATTTTTTGTTTATAATTATTATATTTATATTACATTTACTTTAACATATTATATTGTAATATTATAATGTACCATTTTACTACATATTTCTATTTAACATTTACAAACTTTATTTTGTACAGTTTAACATGTTAAGGGGACATCCATTAATTACGTGAGACATTTTCCTGATAATTTGGACCCCCCTCCCTCTTGGTGAGATGTGGTGGAGATTTTAGCCATTAAACTTTTTTTGCGGAAAACATGTAAAAAAATGATTATTTTTTTTAACTTAAATTTGAATTATAATACATATTTTTTAAACTCAAAAGTTGACGTGAGATTTTTAATGACCCCCCCCTCCCTTAAAATGAGATTTGGTGAGATTTTGCTGGACCTCTCCCCCAATTTTTGTCTTAGTACTGTACCACCAGTGGCGGCTGGTGGATTTTGGGTATACAAATATCTCAGTTATTAGATATGGGACCCACACCAAATTTATAATAGTTTATAATGACATTAAATAGAAAAGTTCGGCGAAAACAGAATTTAAATTGAAGTTTGCAAAAAAAATTTAGTTTTTCGTGTGGCCTCACCCGCCTCCTGGCCCCCCTATTTGAGATAATTCAAATTAAAGTGGTGCAATTTATAATCTACTATAATTTTTTGAAAAATTTAAAATTTTATTTAAAAAATCCAAATATTACAGATTTTATACCATTTTAATTTTTTTTTATTTTAATAATATAAATAATAAAAATACGTTCAAAATTATGTGCTTACCATCTCCAATGGGTAGTTTTCTGGACCTCCTTCTTAACCTGCACCATACCATGAGACCCACCACCAAAATAATGTAAGCCCCAGCAACAGACATTGTTATTAGAACAGCTTTGGTAACGGTAGTGTCGCCATCTATTTCTTCTGGATGATAACCATCACGAGCTAAAAACAAATCAAAATGTTGGGAATAAGTACAATAACATTTTTTTCTATTTGGGAACTTACAATGCACAGTCAACTTCATCTCCTTCCTGTTAAAACCTCCACTGTTACCTCCAGTGCACCCGTATCTATTCTCGTCCTCCCTTCTGACCTCGCTGATGAAAAGAGTGCCATTCTTCAGAACGCTGAACCTCGTCATATCGAAATTGTTCAACGTGGAATTTTTATCCCACTGTATGGTGGGTTTGGGATCCCCCTCCACAACGCAATCGACGTGCACCGCTTGCCCCTCCAGAACCTCCAAGTTTTTCGGAATCAGCGTAAACTTGGGAGCCTTCACCACCTCTATGGTTATGTTAGCTTGTATGGTCCCCTGGCTATTTGCAGCTATGCACGAATATTTCCCCTTGTCTTTTGCTTGCACCACATTGAAATGCAAAGTTCCGTTCATATCTGTTATGTGACTAGCGAGGTTTTCGGATCGTACTCCATCCTTCTCCCAGTGAATATTTGGAGGAGGGGTGCCTTGGGCTTTGCAGTGGATTTTGGCGACGCTGCCCAGCTCCATTTTTTTGTTTACAGGTGGTGGGGAGAACCTCAGTTGCTCTAAAAGAAATTTCGAAAATTTGTCCTACCATTTTTTATATTTAAACTACTGTGCGAATTTTTCCGACACTTTTCCTAATTTTGAATTACTGCACATGCAAATTTTTTTCGAATAGTGTACCTAATACGAAACAGGCATTTTGGAAATTTCTAGAAATTCAGAATTTTTAAAATTTTACTTACTATTTTTTTTATATAAACTACTGTAAGAATATTTTACACAATTTTATATTACTGTGCAATTTTTGTAATTTTTAAAATTCTGATAATTAAAAAAAATTCTGAAAAATTTAGAAATTTTTAAAATGTGTCCTATTTTTTAAATTTATGTCACTGCGATTTTTAATTTTGAATTACTGGCGAATTTGTCCCCCTATTTTTTAATTTTTCAAAATTCTGTAAAGTTTGGAAATTTTGTCCTACCATTTTTTATATTTAAACTACATTTTTCCACAATTTTTTAATTTTGAATTACTGTGCAAATTCTTTTCTTATATTGTAATACGAACAGGCATTTTGAAAATTTCTGTAAATTTGGAAATTTTAAAATGTATTATTTTATATACATAATATGTAGATATTACATATGTATGTGCAAATATTTTCCATATTTTAAGATTCTGGAAAATTTGGAAATTTTAAAAAATTGCCCTAATTAATTTTTTGTTTAAATTTAGAAATTTTCAAAATGTGTCCTACCATTTATTAAATTTATGTCACTGCAATTTTTAATTTTTAATTACTGGCGAATTTGTCCCCCTATTTTTAATTTTCAAAATTCGGTAAAATTTGTCCTACCATTTTTTAAATTTTTGCCACTGTGCGAATTTTGTTATAATTTTCCAATAACAAATTTAAAAAAAATCTGGGAAATTTCGAAAATTTGTCCCACCATTTTTTAAAATTTTGCCACTGTGCAAATTTTGTTCGAATATTCTAATACGATAGAAAATTTACAAAATTTTGAAAATTTAACCCACCATTTTTTTATATAAACTACTTTGCGAAATTTCCCACAATTTTTTAATTTTAAATTACTGTTCGATTTTTTCCCACTATTTTTTAATTTTAAACTGGGTACTGTCCAAATATTCGAAGCCAGCAAATCGTACCATTTTTAAATTTTTTTGCCATTGTGCGAATTTTGTTTGAATATTCCAAACGACGAAGACGTTTTGATAATTTTGGAAATTTTAAAAATTATGAAAAATTTGGTAAGTAATTATAAAAAAAATCCACAATTTTTTTAAATTTATGCCACTGTGAGAATTTTGTTCAAATAATCAATACAACGCAGGCATTTTGAAAATTTTGGAAATTTGGAAATTCTAGAAAATTTGGAAATTTAAAAAATTTGTCCTACTATTTTTTATATTTAAACTACCGTGCGAGTTTTTCCCACGTTTTTTAAATTTTGAACTACTGTGAAAATTTGTCTTACCATTTTGAAATTTATGAATTCTGTTCCGTTTCATCCGTTTCATCTTTTGTAACGCCAAATTTTGATTTACCCCGTACGCAAAGAAGTTTCACTTTAAAAACTTACCAATAACAGAAATAGTTGCAGGTTTGGAGACAACAGCTCCAAAACCACTGGTGACAACCTCGCAGACATATTCTCCCCTATCCTGAATCTGAGTGGAAAAAATCACCAAAGTACCGTTGTGTTTATAAACTCTGACCCTTTGGTTGGGCATGCTGTTAATATCGAAATCGTGCTTTAATAATTTCCCATCTTTCCTCCATTTAACAACAGTGTGACCTTCCGAGTTGGAATTAAATGAACATGTCAAAGTGGATCTGTCGTTTTCGTCCACTGTGACGCTGACTGGGTGAGATGTTATTTCAGGTTTTGCTGAAAAGAGGGGTGCATTAACTCTGGATGATGCGGTGGCCAATGGTACTTACTCGTAACAACCAACTCAAACGTCTTCACGACTTTTCCCGCCACGCTTTCTGCAACGCAGGAATAAAATCCTGAGTGAGACAGCTGAGCTTTTTCAATTATCAGTCTTCCATCATAATCCACCTTTACGTCTCCAGAATCCGATATCTAAAATTAAATATAAATATATAGTTTTAGTTTTAGTGTACACACTTACAGTGTGTCCAGCCTTATTTTGCCACCATTTTTTCGCCAGTGGTACACTTTCAGGTTCTAAGCAAGTCAGTTGAAAGCTTCCACCTTCAGCTACGACTTTTTTGGAGTCTTCAGTTAATGGAGGCTCGAATGAAGATTCAGTAAAATCCTTGATATCTAAAAAAAATATTTGTTTCATCAGACTTAAAAGTTGCATTATTTTTACAACTTACAGGCTAATTTTAATCCAGCAGTATAGGTTTGTGGAACTTCAGTGGATTCACTTGGTATTCCAACACAACTATAAAGCCCTTCATCTTTTTCCTGTACATTGTTGACTCTAAGGGTGCTGTTTGAATAAATTAGGTATCTAAAACACAAAACATTAAGTTAATATATAGTTTAAAATATATTTTATTTGGTATGTTACCTATTATTGCTTTCCAAAGGCCCACTATCTCTAAAATACCATTCTGTGACATCAGCATTTTGATAGGAACAATCAAAAAACGCGGTAGCACCTTTTTTCACCAACTGATTCGACGGAACAATTTGGATTAAAGCTGTTTGATCACCTAAAAAATGTTGTTTTATAAACTGATGTCGGCAAGAGTTTGGCTTTTACTTACTGGCAATAGCCAAGGCAAAATTTTTGCTGCTAAATTCAATTCCAGCCTCGTTTTTCCCCGCGCATCTATAGACACCATTGTCACCAGGCTGTGCGTTTTTGATGTGCAGTCGCTTCTTTTTTATTTCTATTCTTGGAGATTTGTCCAAACGTTCAGCGTTCCTAAGGTTTAATAAAAATGTTACCTATAAATAGGTTCAAGAACCTCACATTTTTACTATAAATCTTATGGACTGAATGTCTGAAGACCTAGAGCCTAAAGATAGACTCCAGAACACTAAATTATTAGTTTCCCTTACTAAAAACATTGTTTACCTGCATTAATGTTTCGTGAAAGCTTATGATCTTTAATTCTATAGGTGTTTAGGTTAATGCAGGCAATTTAGTTTCTCTTCGGGCGATCATGATGCACGGAAATAATACACCAATATGTCAATTATGACTTGAAATCAATTTATTTATTAGTTTGATCCCAGTATAACCAGTCCTCCACGATGATTCATACAGCACGGTAAAATGTCATTGATTTGAGAGTGGGTTTAAAAATTGGTGATACGAGGAAAAGAAAGAAAGATTTTTGATAAACTTTTAATCCGACTTAATTACACTGTGCTAGTTCAACAAGGGAGATTACCTAATTTGAGTACGCTGAACCTAATGGTGTTAATCGTTTTTTAGGTTAGTTCTTGTTTTCGGGTTATTTTATATATAAATTGTACCCTCAAGAACCACAAAAAAAACATTGTTTTCTCATTTTTAGATCATTTATTGAATTTAAATTTATGAAAACAGATATATACATGTATAAAACGTTTATAATCCATTTAAGTATATTTTTTTTAAATATTTTAAACAAAATGCTACTTCCGATTTATCCGGAAGTGACATCAACTTTGTTATTTTAAATAAAACAACCCATATATTTTTACATTTTTAAATTCTACATACAATTCTGATGGTATACCATGTCCTATAGTGAATAGTTTTAGGGTTATTAATTTTTTTTGGTTATAATTTGACAAATGCGCGTCAATCAAAAATAGCCTTTAACTTTTTTTATTAGGATTGCGAATATGAGGTTGGAATTTTTGGAATCATTGTTTAAAAGATTCCATGTCAATTCTTTAACATGTTTTAACAAATCACCTGTTTTTACCTAATCAAATAGTAAATTAAAAAACCTTTCGATTGATGTTACTATTTCCTAAAGTTAATAATTTTAGAGATATTTAACAATTTTTTTTAAATAGGTATTATTTTGTATCAAGAAACCTGTGACGGGTGAGTTGACGGTATCTATGGTTACCACGCAATCTGTCATTGTTTAAAATTTAAAGTGAGCTCCGTTGCCGCTGATCGTTGTTTATATAAGCACTATATATAAACAATGTTTCTTTTTGCATTATAATTCATGAAGGTAAAAGTTATTATTGATAAAAAATAAGAAAGACGACTTGGCAATCAGGGCCTTAATCCAAACATTTTAGAACGTTTAATACTGTATTTATAAAAAATTATGAAAACTGTATATTTTTGGAAACAAAAATAAACAAAAAACACTTCGACAAAATCGACCAAATTATTTTTTTTCAACAGTTTCTTTTCAATATGTATCTGTCTATACATTTATTCCATCGATTTTTATCAATTTATAATCAGTAAATGGTTTTAAAATGGGAAAAATGGGATAAATAAGTTTTTTTGTGATGCTTGGATCTACAATCTAACATATTTCGAAAACAAGAGCTAACCTAAAAAAGCGACTAGTACCATTGGATTTAGCGTATTCGAATTAGGTAATCCCCCTGGGTGCCCTGCTTGTTAGAAAAAAAAAGTTTCCGATTCGAGCACAGTGTTATTAACCAACACAATATTAAGTAAAAACTCAATACTCCCTAAAAATAAATTAGTCAAAAATGACACTTGTCATAGCGAAAAAATTGACTATATCTCAAAAACTGCTCTACTTTCATATTTTTTGACGGTCCCCGAGTCAAAATTAAGATCGTAATTTAAACCTTAAGTCTGACAATTTCCGTCTTAAACGGTTTTATATTCGCCTAAAGATAACCAACTTATGACCTAAAACATGGCAGATAAGTCCATTTTCCCGATTTTTCGGTTCTAATTACGTTTAAATTTAAACCAAAAATTTTATTAATCGGTTCAAATGAAGATTAATTCGGTTGTTCTAGTGCTAAATTGGAGTAAACAGACTTAACAGGTTTTAAATCAGTTTTGGTAGGTCAAAGTAGGTTTAAATTACGATTTAAATTTTGACTCGGGTCTTTTCGGATTCAGGAGATAATTTTACATAAGAATTGGCTGTTAAATGTCCGGGATACAAATTGCTGTGGACTACTGTAACAGTTAGTTGTGACTGCTTTTTCACTTTAAAAACTAGTTTTTTTTGACTAATTCATTTTTAGAGAGTAAGTATTACTTTTTTAGGCATAGAAAAAAGTTATAGCTTAATAGGAACAAGTGTCTAAATAAAACGGAGCCATCCAGTTTGCAGGAAATTATTCTTTAATTAAAATGTTTGTTTTAAAAAATATATCTATATAATTAATTAATTAATTGCTAATTTAAATAGTAAATAGATATTTTTTAGTATTAACGTATGTAATATTATTATATATATATTATTAATAATAATGATAATCTTGAAGATAATAAAATAATGTAAACATTTAGTATTAATTAAACTTTATTTTAAGGATTGCATTTGACAACTGCCAACTAACTTAAAGCTAACTTCAGCCCGTGACTAAAAACCTGTTGCTAACTTTAGCCCGTGACTAAAGAACCATAAAGCCACAACTTTTCAATGTGTATTTAAAAGGTGTCATGGAAACATGTTCGATAAAGGGCGTTTTAAAGCTGGGAGTAGAAAAAAACTTAAACAACTTGAAAATGGTTTGAAAAAAGCAAGGAAAATAACAAAAATTATTTTTGATACTTAATATACTATAAAAAAGACATCACTGCATTTTTTGTCCAAAACTGAAACTGTAGGAGCTTTGCCCCAGACAATGTTTTGAAGTCATCATTTGTCATGTTTTAAGATGGCAAATAAAACAAAAAGGGAACAGTTAGTCGCAATGTTTGTTTAGCACCTTTTTCGAGAGGGTGGTCGCAAAAAATGTTGACCTGGGGACAAGGGGTGCGAAAATTCACCCCATAAGAAAACAAACACTTTATTAGTGTGATGTGTAAAAATGTCGATAAATTCCTTGTTTATGATCTAGGGGGAAAACGAAAATAACCACATCTGTTAGGATATGATAGTATTAGTCATTTTTGCAAATACCCTTATTAATCCCCAACAACCCCTATCCATGTTTCAGGTGTTTTTTGGATTATTTTGAACAAAAATAAAGTAAAAAGAAGAATTCTCAAAGAGGTTAAATAAATTTTAAGTAAATTAAACAAAATCTAATTAAAATAACGTTTTTATAAACTTGGTTTTTAAGCAATTAGTTGTATTCAACCTTTAACATTTTTTTAAGGTTACTACGAACTAAAAAATAAACTTTTCAATTTATCAACCGGTTGCTATAACCATAAGGTAAATTTAAAGTTTATATTTTAGTATAATTTAACTAATAAAAGAAACCTATTGGTAATATTACTAACTAAAATATTTCGTTTATCTATAGTAAATTTAAACTCTTAAAATAACATTACCTGGATAAATTAAGGGTATTTCAAGAGTTTAAATTGACTATAAATAAACCAAATATTTAGCTAGTTAGTAATATTACTTATTAGTTAAAAAGTAGGTTATTTTAGAAGTTACATAAAGTTATATTAACTTCTTATTTTAACCTTTGAAGATGGTTGAGACTAGTTATTTTTTAGACTTATTTTGGTTTAGTTTCACTTTTAGTATAACTTTTTGGTAAATTGGTTAATTTGGATATATTTTTTTAAACAAGAAGTTATATTTTACCAAATATATTTTAACTTGCTGGTAAATTAAAGTTAATTAATAAACTGGTTAAAAAAGTGATGCTTTTGCAGTTTTCATTGTTACCTGCATAGAAAAATTAGTCTCAAAACAGTTTTGTGTAGCCTAAAAGAAATAATTTAAAAAAATATAGACTTTCTTCAACTTACTATAGAATAGTTAATAAAGCATCGCCATATTGTTTCCTGTCCATTTTAACAAAAGGAAATCCCATTAATTTTAATAATATGCTTTATTCCAAAAATAAGGTAATTACAACATAATATTATTTTATTTTTAAAAGTATTTTATCTACTCCTACATGGACAAGCTGCGACTTTATGGCGTTTTAGTCACGGGCTGAAGTTTTCAACAGTGGCTTTTGGGCATTTTAGTCACGGGCTGAAGTTAGCTTCATTATAAATAGAGAAAAATTGAGGTTAAATTCGTCAAATGTCAAATATTTATGAATTAAAGTTGGCTTTAAATTCTCGTTTAATAAACTTCCCTAGACACTCGTTTTTATTAAACACTCGCTCGAAAGCTTAACGTAACTCAAATGGCATTTATAAAACTTGATACATAATATACTATTAAATCAATTTCAAACAAAATAAAGAAAAAAATATTTTTTAAAATTTTTATTTTCATTATTTCCTATTTTTTTCAAAGCGAATTTAAAATATGGAATATTATGTACTACTTTACCAGAGAAAAATGTCCCATTGGATTTTCCCTTAAAAAAATCTCTTAAAGGTATTAATGGATATAGGTATATATATGTATATTAATATTCAGGGGCGACATTTTATTTTAGGGATCTCTAAGTCATAACTATAGATATATGTACATACCATATGTGGTAAATTATAATTATATGGAGTTAAAAACTAGTTAAAAAGGATAAAATAAAACAAAAGCAACCAAATATTAACTTATTTTTAATTAAAAGGTTCATTAACCAAGAAGGGTAATTTAACTAATATGAGGGGACATCCATTAATTACTTGAGGTATTTTTATTTGGACCCCCCTTCTATTTGGTGAGATGTGGAAGACCCCCCTATTCCTCACGTGAGATTCTAGCCATAAAATTTTCATTGCGGACATGATAAACCCCAAAATTGAATAATATTACATATTCTTTAAACTCAAAAGTTGACGTGAGATTTTCAATGACCCCCCTCCCTTAAAATGAGATTTGGTGAGATTATACTAGACCCCTCACCTCACGAAATTATTGTGTCCCCGTTAATTTTACCATAATCGAATTCCCCACAAAATAACGTTAATTTAAGGTAGGTTGTAGTACAATATTACTTAAGAATGAATTTATACATTTTTAATGTTTAAATTCAAATTCCGCCATTTGGAATAGTGTATTTCAATAAAGACGTTTATTATTATTATTATTATTAAAGGAATTAACCGGGCAGAATAATATTCTGAACAACTTTTTCCAATAACTTTTTTCGATATCTCTAACGCGAAGCAAAATATCGAGAACTGGCCCTGTTTGTGAATTTGTAGTAGGCCAAGTTTAAAGTTTAGATTTCAGTTGAGTAGCTTAAAAAATGTGACCCATTAACATGTATAAATGTGAAAAAATTCAAACCTTTATTCCTTCAAATAGCGAAAATATGGGGGTGTCTTCATCTTAAGTGCGACACACTGTATAACGAACCACTAATTTATTCGTTATAAGTTATAACTGAATTACAAAAAAAAACTGAAAAATAGAAAACCTTCTTACCTAAACCATTCGTAGTGAACATCGCCGGTGGCCTCCATATGACACCTAAGAATGACCTCGCCGCCCCGTTTGATGTACGAAGCCGATTCGGGTTCTTGCAGCTGAACGCTAGCTTCGCCAATAACTGGAACAAAAACGAAAATGAAAATTATATGCCGGCATTTTCTTGCGGAAAGGATTTTAATATTTTCGGAGCGACGCTATTTATTACGAACGTGTTGCCAATATCGGAATTTTGATCCACTTTTCAGAGTCGGGTTTTTATTTTTAAAATTCACTGCGTGTGCGGTATTTTGGTGCCTTAGCTGGTTTTAGCGAAGAACAGGGCCGCATCAGGTCCTCACTTGACTTATTTTCCCAAAATAGACATTGTTTGAAACATCTCAATGCCCTTTTCGTATTTACCCAAACAAGCCAAAATAGTTTTGTTTGTGTTCAGTATACGCACTTTTATTTGTAGACTAAATAGACAGAAGGGTCTTTTCGTTCCGATTTTACCATATTTACCATGTTACGGTAAATACTGTTTAGCACCAAAACGTTCTAAAGAAAAGTTTTAAACCCTATTATCATCTTAATTTTTAAGTTTAACACTTATTTACGCCTTTACACACTGTTTTTTTTGTTGTAGAAAACCAGGGTTTGTAATTATTTTAACTTAGGAAAATAATTTGACAAGTTTTGTAAATGTAATATGCAATTTTGTAAGCATTTTGTTAATTTTTAAGGTTACAGATAATTTTAAAAAAATATTTCGTTGAAAAAGTACACGTGATTTAAGGCAGTCAATCAAAAAATTTCTCACTGACAATACGCATCAACAAGTTCAACTTCAGCGTCTGCAACTTATGTTGCTGCTTACTTTATTTTAATTCGTAACGTGTTCGTAACAACTGTCCTGAGTGTTTACAATATATTACCAGAAATCTGTTATAATTAATCTGTTATTCGGATTCCTTATACCTATTTAACGAGTGTGCGAAGTATACTACTAATTAATTGTACCAAATTTCTTTAAAATTTGATGATTTCAGAATGGTGTGTTATTTAATTGTGTGTATTAGGGTGCTTAAAAAATAAAATTTAATTTTTTTTTTCGCTCTTACCCTCTCAAATGTTTCTATTTAATATAAAAAAATCTTCACCAAATATGGGCGTTCCAGCTCAACTCTAAGAGGTCGCTGTTTTTATTTTAGTTTCCCATTTAATTAAAATGGGAAAAAATAATTTTATGTTTGGAATTTTATACCTCTGTATCAAAGTAACTTCTGATCATTGCAGTTTCTTATATAAAATGTAACGCTCTACAAAAAAGCTCTCTTATTATTTTTCGATAAATTGATTTCTTCTATAGTTATTCGAGGTCAAAGTTTGATTAACATCAAATTTTCTGTTTTTTTTAAATTTCATGGTACAATTAGCAGATGGGAGGTGAAAGGGGCAAAAGAAGTCAGCGGGGGGGCAAAATGGGGTACCCAAAAATTTTCTAAAAAAAAAATTTTAGGTTGTTTTTTCTGTTTCTAAATTATTTGAAAATATATTGACTCACAAGTTCACGCTTTTAATCGAAAATAATTAGCCTGTAGAGCGAGAAAAAGGATGGTACAATTTTGTAAAACTTTTCATATGCTCATTTTTTTGGGTACCCAATTTTGCCCCCCCCCCCCCGCTGCCTTGTACCTCCCGTCTGCTAATTGTACCATAAAATTAAAAAAAAACAGAAAATTTGATGTTAATTAAACTTTGACCTCGAATAACTCCAGAAGAAATCAATTTATCAAAAAATAATAGGACAGGTTTTTTGTAGAGCGTTACATTTTATATAAGAAACTGCAATGATCATTGCCATAAGTTACTTTGATACAGAGGTATAAAATTCCAAACATAAAATTATTTTTTTCCATGTTAATTAAATGGGAAACTAAATAAAAGCGATCTCTTAAAGCAGGAACGCCCATATTTGGTGAGGATTTTTTTATATTAAATAGAAACATTTGAGAGGGTAAGAGCGAAAAAAAATTAACATATGCATGTTATTTTTGTGTTCATTTATGTTAATTTTTTGTTTAGGAAATTGCAACATTACTGGGTCTACAAAAAGGTTTGTAAAAATAAGGTCATTTTTGAAAATTATAAGAATTATGGTTGAATTATTGATACAGGATTTTGTTATTAAATCTACAAAATGTTTGTTATAATTACAAACTACCTATTCAATTAGTTAACAGATTACAGTTGGTTGTAAACTTAACATAAAGTTATGTGGACCTGAATTAAAATAAAATATGGTTAAAATTAACAAATAATATATTATATATTATATATAGTAAATAATTGTTTTTTTGCTAATTTCTACGGTAGTTTAAAACTAGAGTAAAAATCTTATTTTCCTTACAAAAAGCTTATTCTTATTTTGTTTATGTTTTCTATCGTAAGATGTAAAAAGGCCACTACAAAAATATCCTTTCCAAGAGATAAGAGCAAATTTATTCAAGGTATACACGGCGAAAGTCAAAGGATAAAATCCAGTATAAAAATGCATTGGAAAGGAAATAGATTTTACCAAGACTCTTTCAGGAAGATTCGCTACAGGATTTTAAAGCGTCTGAAGTTTTTAAAAGATGTTTTTGATTTACTCCATGGAGTTGATCTCAAGATTGCTAAATTTGTATTAAGTAACTAAAGAGGTTTTTTTTATTCATTTTTCGTAAAAATCTTGTTCTATAGAGAGAAACTAAATTAAACCCCAGATTCATATTTCAGCTTCCTCAATCGATTCCCAGTTGGCCCTACTGGCCGAGGCTTCCTTCAAGATACAACCAAATCTAATTAAAGCGATTCTTTTAATTTTAACCGCGGGCGGCGGTTTTCCAGGGTCGGGCCAGTAATTGGCGGCAAGCTCATAAAGACTTAATCAAGTATTCGGGGCGGCAGTCGACGTCGCCGCCTCCGTGAATTTTAGGCGGAGGTGAGAGCCGCGCTCTACATAATAATTTTACATGTCGTCGGGTCGCCTCGTGGCAATACAGGACAAAAACAATGTTTTATAAAAAACATGTTTTTGAATGATTGCACGATCATCGTGGTCGGCTACCGCCTACAGACCCGTCTCGCACTGGTAGTCTTTTAATAAAATATATATGTATATATATATTTATGATTTTTCTAGTAATTACGAGACTTTTCTGGCAATAAATTTTGTTTAACACCAAAGAAAATCCTTTTTTTCTTCTTTAACATTAACAGCCGCTTATTGTAAATATGGCGAATCGATTTTGACATTAACTGTCAAACCAATGACTGTGATACCAACTATCTAAAGTAAAATTCGATCAAATTAAATTTAAGGTACAAAATTAATTTTTTTATAGACTTTTTGCAAAATAGGTAAAATAGCATAAAGAACTTATGTCATAAGACCTTTTTTCGCACTCGTCCATTATAAATTGTCCGCGTGCGACAAAATGACGTCTTATGAAATTAGTTCTTTAATATACTATTATTTATGTTATTTTTACCTATTTTAATAATCCTTAAGTTTCGACACTTTAAAGCATTATGAGGGACGTAATTTTTACAAAAGAAAATTACTTATAAGTGTATTTCACCTAAAGGAAAATTTAACGGTAATTTTAAAGTCAGAATTTTTACTTAATGGTAAATGTTACTCATAAGTAATAATTTTACGATATTAAGACCAGTTTATAACCATAAATAATTCCTATTCGCCTGGTATTTTTTAGAGTTTAGTGGTAATAAATACTATTAATATTGACTAAACAAGGAAAAATAAGCTTAAAGTGAAAAATAAAACTCTAAGGGAAATTTTTTTTCAGGTCGCCATAATGAGTTTTTTAAGATGGCATCCATTACTTATCTAAACATTTATATAATATTTTTTCATAAATATTTTTAAAGTTTTAGGTATTAAAAAATGATGAAAACTAAATGATTTTATAAAATTTTGACTTTGGTTGAATTTTTACCCAAGCAATAATTTTTCTTAAAACCGTAAAATATTTAGAGGGCATATAATTTTTAAGTATCGTGCCTATTTTTATCAATAAAATAATGTGCGTTTGGGTTTAATGCAAAATATTATTAGTTTTGACAATTTTAGTTATAATTTTTAATTTTACTCTAGGGTGGCCTTTATTACTTTGTAAGTACCATTTTGTAAAATATAAATTAAAAGAACAAAGAAATTACGAATGTCAATGTTTTAGAAAGAGAGAGCAAACAGTTAGTAATTATAGCGTTATTTTAACGTAAATTTGTGGTATTTATATTGTTTTTCTTGCGTTATTCTCTTAGTAGATCAAAAAGGCTATTATGTAGGTAAAATAACGAAATAAACCATTTCCCAAAGTTGGTAATTTTTCGTATCTATACCGTTATAAAACCGTTTTGGATAACTGTAAAAAATACTTTAAAGTTGACTTAGTAGTAAATTTGTAGTTATTTAAACTTAAAATGCTGCTTTGGAATAACGACAATTATGACGATTAAGTTTGTCGAAATTTTGCTACTAATTCTAGGATGTAGGATAACCTTAAAAAATACTTAAAAGTTGACTTAGTAGTAAATAATTAATTAATTTACTGTAAATTTAAAGTTATTTAAACTTAAAATGCTGCTTGGGAATAACGACATTTATGACGATTCAGTTTGTCGAAATTTTGCTACTAATTCTAGGATGTAACCATATGTACCTACGTGCCTATTTGCATGCCTCTCATTAAACAAAGTTGCCGTTACTCTTGCACATTGATTGTTTATAAAATACAATTCAATAATTTCCACTCTCTCGCAATAGAATAAACCATTCAATCAAAATCAAAAGAATGAAAAGCAGAAATAACGAACTATCCACATCAACTACTTTACTGAAGATAAAGTCGATTTGTCGACTGATATTTGTAGGTTTAAAAACAATTTTTTCAAAGAAAATCTAATGCCCTTTCAAAAGATGTATCACAAGATAGGTACCCCTTCCAAATTGAAAAAATAAGGGTGAATTCCGCCCTCGCTAAGGGGTAGAAGTTGCAGTAATTAAATTAATGTGTAAATATGTCCCCCTGAAAACAAAAGTGTACGGGTACAATTTTTTTTTTATTTTCACTG